CATCATGCACAACCCACATCACTCTGCATGAGTCTGAGTGTGCTGAGCGGCTCCTTTAGTCAGAGACGGAAACACCCTCGCTGTAGGAAGGAGCGCAGTTAGACTCTGAAACTTTATTTCTTGCATATTTGTACAACCATCTATCTATAACACATTCTGGGTATGCATGTACATAGAACCTCAGCTACTGTTGCATATATTGTATTGTATTATACATCTTATTATCTTCTAGTCGTCTTATCTTATATCCAGAAACTGTGGAAGAGTGTCTTAAAGAGGTTCTCCCCATCAATATTTTTAAAAAAAACAAAATAAAAAAATTATTTCCTAATGTTCCTGGCAAAATATAAAAAAGTAGGGTTGGCTCAACACTTACGCAGCACTGCACATTTGAAATCAGCTGTGTGTGGCATGCTGCAATACTTTTATTATTTTACATACAAACTATAAATTGGGCAGGGGCGACCTCTGCTGGCAGGTTGCACTTATGACTTGTGTAGTATTTTGTTTTGTTTCATTTATTTTATTTTTGTATTAAATTTTATTAAATTTATTTTTTGTTTCTTTTAACAGTACTGTTCACTGCGTTTCAAGACAAGATACAGCATAATAAAATAAAGATATCCAGCTGGCAGGGATGTGGTCGTACAAACACCATCTGCAGTGAACACAACACAGGACAACAAAGGCTCCTGTTCAGGCTCCTGAAATAAACAAATAAGTTAAACTGTCCAATGCTGTGCTTTCATACACATGAAACATGTTATTAATGATTTACTTAGGCTTGTTTATAAAGAATATATTAAAGTGGAATAATGCTATTTAAATAAAGTGTTAACTAATACACTTTTTAATAGCATGTAGTTATAGTTCTAGGATTTTGTTTTGTTTGTTAAGTATGAATCATGTTAATGGTGTTTCATCACAAATTCAGTACCACAACTTGATCCTCATCAACGTTGTTGAATGTGAGATTTGTAATTACTACAGAGGGACAGTTGTCTACATAAACACAGACACTGTGGCCACGATTAAGGTAGAAATGGTTTCATTTGATTCCTCTTTTTATTTGAGTCGATATGTGTGTTTTGGTATCTGTTTGATTAAAAAAAAGAAAAAGAAATTCATCATCGAGTCATGTAAAAAGTTAAAGAAATTAACATTACTGATGCAAAATTTCAAAAAGCAACAACACAAACATGTTCAGAAATTAGGAACACTTATTTAATTGTGTGGATTCTGATTGAGAGCTCTCCTCATGTAAACACAACGTAATCCACAGATTTTACATGTCTTTGAGAGCCGAGGTTCAATTAGGGAACAGAT